GGAGAAGGAGAAGGAGAAGGAGAAGGAGAAGGAGAAGGAGAAGGAGAGGGAGAGAAAGAAGAAGAAGAAGAGAAGGAGGGAAGGGGGAAGAGGAGGAGGGGGAAGAGGGGGGAGGAGGAAGAGGAGGAAGAGGAAGAAGAAGAAGAGGAGGAGGAGGAGGAGGAAGAGAAGGGGGGAAGGGGAGGAAGAAGAAGAAGAAGAAGAAGAAGAAGAAGAAGAAGAAGAAGAAGTAGAAGTAGTAGTACTAGTAGTAGTAGTAGTGGTGGTGGTGACAACAGCCACGCCCACCCAGTCCCATGGCCACGCCCACCTAGCCATGCCCACCTAGCCACATCCACCTAGCCACACCCACAGAACCAGTTGTTAAAAAAAATTGACAGTCTTCAAGCGAAGTACCCAAACGCTATGCTGAATCCCCTCCTATTGCATCAGCCGTATCTGGCAGCTGTTACTGCTGGTCGGCTCTTAAATCCCAAGGCCTTTTACAGGTTGGACTGGAAGACCTCCCAGGTCCCTTCCAACTCTATGGTTCTCATCCTAATTCCCACAGGGAAGCACCGAACCCAGAGGCCGGACGACACGGAGCAAACCCTCCAACCTCAGGCCATCCACATCCACCCTTCCTACAAGGCGGCCACCTTTGAGTACGACATCGCCGTGGTCAGACTCTCCAAAGAAGCAACCCTGAACAACTACGTGATCCCCATTTGCTTCCCAGACGGATCGCACCAGACAGGTGGGGATGGCGGGTGAGGGGGGCGGTTAGCCTGGCTGGCTGGCTGGCTGGGGAATTCTGGGAACTGAAGTCCACATCGCTCTTTAAAGTGGCCCCCTGTGAGAAATACTGGCCTAATCTTTGCAAATGGCCTATTGAGTTTATTGCGATCTTGGGGACCCAATTCATGGTGCCCATCTACTGCAGAGTCCTTGCCTGCTCTCTGGGCTGGGTGGTTTCCTTGCAGGCGTTTCAGGACCCCAATAGGTAACATCATCAGGGCTAGAAAGGAGAAGGGAGGAGGAGGTGGTGGAAGAGGTAGAGGAGGAAGAGGTGGAAGAGGAGGAAGAGGAGAGGAGAAGGAGGAAGAGGAGGAGGAAGAGGAAGAGATGGAAGAGGAGGAGCAAAAGGAGGAGGAAGAGGTGGAAGA